TACTATATAGCTATAGCCACATTAACCAAGACAGAGTGGTGCTGGCCAAGGAACAGGCACATAGATCAAAGGTATATAATACTGAATCTAGAAATGGGTTGTTGTTCAGTTCCTAAGTCATATCCAGCTCTGCAATTCCATGGACTGCAGTACACCAGGCTCTTCTGTCCTCCACTATCTCCGGAAGTTTGCTTAAATTCATATCCATTGAGCCACTTATGCCATCTAACCATCTCATCCTCTGCTGCCCACACAAATCCACCCAATGGATTTTGTATAAATGTGCAAAAGTAATTCCATGGAGGAAGCTAGATGTTTTCAACAAATGATGCTGGAGCAACTGGACATCTATTCAAAAAGCTACACCTTGACCAAAATAAACTTTATACCCTATATAAATATTAATTCAAGATGGAGCAGAGAGTAAAATTTAAAGCTATAAAACTAGTGGTAAAAACTCCAATAATTTTAAAAAGAAAAGTTTAAGGATATAGACTATGGAAAGAGTTCCTATATTTTGTACCAAAAGCACAATCCATAAAAGGAAAAAAAATAAATCTTTTGCTCTGCAAAAAAACCTGTTAAGAGGATGAAAAGACAAACTACAGATTGTCAGAAAATATTTGCAAGCCACATATCCAAAAGAGGATTACTACCTAGAATATATAAAGAATTCTCAAAACTCAACGGTTAGATCACAAATAATTCAGCTATAAAATGGGCAAAAGACATAAACAGATATTTCACTGATGAGCACAGAAATGGCAAATCAGCACACAAAATCCCATCATTAGCCATTAGGGAAATGAAAATTAAAATCACGAGATATCAAGATATACTGATGGTTACAATGAAAAATAGTGACAATACCAAATGCTGCAAGCACGTGGATAAACCAGATCACTTGCATATTGCTGGTGGGAATGTAATAAAATGGTACTGCTACTCTGGAAAATAATATGGCAGTTTCTATATGATGGGGCTTCCCTGATAGCTCAGTTGGTAAAGAATCTTTCAGCAATGCAGGAGACCCCGGTTCAATTCCTGGGTTGGGAAGATCCACTGGAGAAAGGACAGGCTATGCACTCCAGTATTCTGGCCTGGAGAATTCCATGGACTATACAGTCCATGGGGTCGCAAAAAGTCAGACATGACTGAGTGACTTTCAATTCTTATATGACTAAACATGCAACTATCATACAACTCAAGTTCACTCTGGAGCATCTATTGCAGATAAATGAAAACTTATATTCACTAAAAATGTACATGGGTATTCACAGAAGATTTATTTTCAATAACGAAAAATGGAAACAACAGAGACGTCCTTCAATGAGTAAATAAACACTGTGATAATGTCCATACCATGTAACATTACTTAACAATAAATAAGAACAGACTATGTTGAACAACCTGGGCGAATTTCAAAGGAATTATGTTGACTGAAAAACCCAATTCCAAAAGGTGATATCCTCTATGATTCCATTTATAAAACATTCTTGAATTACAAACAGTAGATATGGAGAACAGATTAGTGTTTTCCAGGGATTTGGGACTGGGGTAGGGAAGTAAATATGGACAACAGAAGGGATCCTGGAGGTGATGACATTGTTCTGTATCTTGAATGTAGCATCATCAATATTCTGATTATGATTTTGTACTACAGTTTTGCAAACTGTCACTGCTGATGGAAACTGGCTAAAGGATTCATGGAACCTCCCTATACTATATCTTGCAAATGAATATGAATCTACAAAATAAAATTTCAGTCAAAAAATAGAGTGACAACTTAGTCTGTTACAACACGGGAGGCATTAAATTGCTTACATGAGCACCAGCCAGATATGCATATGAAACTGTTAAAAGGGTATAACTCAGAAGAGGGATATTTAAAAATTGGGAGTCAAGAGGATAAGAAAAACATTTTTCTTTTAAAAAGTAAACTTATTCATTAAATGGCAACAAAAGGAAAAGAAAAGAAATTATTACACATCTCCTTCACTCACTTTTTCATGTAAAAATAAACATTCAAGGAGGAGAAAATTGAGTAAAGAGCCAGGTACTACAGAACAAAGAATGATGTGATATTATTCTGTCCAAAATGGCTACTTATAGAAGGGAGTAGGAAAGCTCTTATTCATTCTACTGAGAGTAATATTAGGTGTTTGCATTATTTACATCATTTAATTGTACATATTTAGGTGTAATGGAGAAGGAAATGGCAACTCACTCCAGTATTCTTGCCTGGAGAATCCCATGGACAGAGGAGCCTGGCAGGCTACAGTCCATGGGATCTCAAGGGTCGGACAAGACGGCAACTAAACCACCACCACCGTTTACGTATAAATGTTGTACGTGAAAACACTCGTTAAACCATTTCATTGATAAGTTAATAACACAGAGCACTTATCAGAAAGACTAGAGCCTTGCAGTAGCAGCTAACTTTTCAAACTTCTGAAACTCTTTGTAAGTGAATTATTTAAAAACTAATGGTGACAATTGTGTGGCCTGAGAGCTAACAACGTGTTAAAGTGTCAGTGATTCAACTAACAGCCCTGGGCTCCCTTCACATCAACAGCAAGTCATTCTACTTAAACTGCTGTTTATAATGATTTTGAGTCCTGCTTTCCAAATTGGAAAAGGGAGTCAGATCAACACTAGCTTCAAATCAATTGGAACACTCGAAATCAGGGACAAAAGCATCTTTTCCTGGAGTTCATTGCTTCCTCTAGAATACCACTTGACACATATAAAACTTAAAGGTGTTTTTCTTTTACTTTCACCTTCCGTTAAAATGTAGACACATGGACATATGACAAATGTCATGGTTTCAAAATTTTGTGACCTTCATTCATTATTGCAACTACAAATTCAGAGACATTTTAGTACAATTTCTCAGAGCATTGGACCAATATGTATATTTAAATTCATCAAAGAATGGCAACTTCAGTGCTTTAGAAATTCAGGTTACTAATGTGAACACATCACTATTTTCCCATCAATAATAAATAATGGAATGAAATGTTAGACTGTGGACATTCAGCTCAAGTCTAATCTCAGATATAGGAGGACATAAATTGGTCTATCTTAAAGAGTCACCTCTACACACACATAAACAATCAGAAATCATGTTTTTTTAAAGAAATGTAGATGTGAAATTAAATCAAATTATTATTAGTCAAGTAGGAATAGCCAGTACAAAGAGTACTCTCTAACTATATTGTTGTTCACTCAGTCATGTCTGACTCTTTGTGACCCCATGGACTGCAGCACGCTAGGCTTCCCTGTCCTTTACTTTCTCCTGGAGTTTGCTCAAACTCATGTCCATTGAGTTGGTGATGCCATCCAACCATCTCATTCTCAGTTGCCCCCCTCTCCTCTTGCCCTCAATCTTTCCCAGAATCAGGGTTTGTTCCAATGAGTTGGCTCTTTGTCAACATAGTATGGCAATTAATTATCATTTTACCTACAAAAACTACTTCTATTAAGAATTAAGCTGAAACATAAAAGGGTTGGATTCCCATTTTTAAGGGAAAGAACAAAAGCTGACAAAGGAATAATGCATTTGTTCTTTTATTAATATAATTCAGTCGACATTTTTCCCAAGCAGAACTTTATTTGCATTCATTTTTATTTTCCAAACTTAACTCTAACTTATATGTTGACAGTGTTTAGAAGATAAAATTATATTTAACCTTCATGTGGCTTTCACCCATTTTGACAACCTAACATACCTGCAGCCACGACTCTTCATAAAAGTAATTCTTTTAGGTTGATGGTGAGTGGGAGACACAATCCTTATGCTAGAGGAATAATAGCTGCCAATGAGAATTTCATAAGTGAAAGTTGAATTTTGACTTGAAAAAGATACTAGATGATTCTGAGAGTTTCTCCAAATTGAGAATCAACTGCTTTAGATTTGGCTTTCTCTTAGTAAGTTGAAATAGGGACACAAAGGAATCAATTTAAACCCTCTTTCTATATGCCTATACCCTGCTATGCCAATGTTCTTATAGTCTAATGACACCTGCAAGCATTCATGCAGGGTGTGATTCACAGCCCATGTGGGACTAAATGCTTAAACTGAGATTTTTCACTGCTAATATGATACATAGCTATTGTCTCAATGCATTATCATTAAGCAAAGTACATACACCTCTTCCAAAAGCAGACAAAGATATGTAGATGTGTGATCAGTTTCTTTGTGGAGTAAAGGCATGGGGGGGGGGGACCCAAAATATTTTTGTACTGACTCAGCACTTTTATGGCTTCCCAGGTGGCTCAGAGGTAAAAGAATCCTCCTGCCAATGCTGGAGACCAGGAGATGTGGGTTCAATCCCTGGGTTGGGAAGATCCCCTGGAGGAGGAAATGGCAACCCACTCTAGCATTCTTGCCTGGAGCATCCCATGGACAGAGGAGCCTGGTGGGCTACAGTCCATGGGGTCACAAAGAGTCAGACATGACTGAGCGCATAAGAGTGCACACACAGCACTTTTAGTTAACAAAATGATCTGGAACATAGTCTCTGTACTTCTACCAAGGCAAGGTTGCTTTCCGCTTTCTGTGCACAAACATGTTACTTAAATCATCTTTGCAGATGTGTGTGAACCAGAGGTATCTGTGCACTATCTGTGAAGGGCAATAACAGAATGTTACAACCCATTTAGCAATAAACTATGCATCCTTTCTGCAAGTCTTTGCTTACATTTTATTTGCAACATTTCACCTCCTCTATAAATTTTATTTCATAGTGTTTAGTAATTTCTGGCAACATAAGTAGATACCCAGATGGTATCTCTTTTCTCCATAAGCCAGAAATAATGTCTCAATATAAATTCCAATCCCATCTTTTTATGATTTAGATTCTAAATGTTAGAAAGCAGCAACACACACAAATATTGAGACAATACCTTGAGGTTAAAGAGAGAGCCACAAAATCTAGGTATATAAAACAGCAACCTGTGATATCATTGTTTCAACAGTAACAGGATGAAAAGCATACCTGATAACACAGGCATAAAGACCACTGTCCTGCAGTAACGTTGGTCGGAACCAAATGGAGTCTTCTTCCTTGCTCATTCTACTTCCATCAAAGGCTATTGGCTCTTCAAAGTCTCCAGGACCAGAGCTTTTGTACCACATCAAACTGAGTCCAGCACTTTGGGCTAGGGAGTAATTGGCTCTGATATAACCATAAAAGAGTGCACATTTGATGCGAACAGGCTCTCCCACCAAAACTTGGTATTTCTTGATATCGACAGACCAATCTGTGCATCCATCGGCTATAGTCAAAAAAGAGAAAGAGAAAAAAAAAAACATTAGAGAAAACAATGGAAGTAATTAGGTTATTCATTCAATGATATTTATTGAGCATCTCTATTGGACAAAATTTTTCCCTAGGCACAAATGGTGCAGCGATGGATAAAACTCAGAAGGGCACTGGAAAGCAATTTATCCTACTAACGAACAATATATTCATCACTTAGTTTGCTTCTGCTGATATTTATTCTTACTTTAATCAGTGTGATGGCTATTGGCTTATGGCATTCCCACTCTAAATCCAAATGTTTGCCTGTTTTTTGAAAATGGATCCGGACCTGTGAAATAGTTTCCTTTGCTAGCTGGCACTGATGTTTAGGGTGCTGGAGAGAGACTGCAAAGGAAAGGGTTTTGCACCCTGGCTCTAATGCTTGCTTGGAAGACTCTTGCAGTGTGCACTGCAGCAGCTTGATAATCTTTTAGCAACGCCTCGGGTGAGACATCTCATGGACAGCTTGTCCCCGATACCCTAGAGGGCAAGGCGTTTCTGTCCAATTGTAGAGGGCAGACTTCCAACCAGTTCTACCAGGGTGCCATCTCAGTGACTTTAAGCCTTGCCTTTTCCCAGTGAGGTCTGGATTTCACTCTGGGAATGGAGGATGGGAGCTACTCCTTGGAGGCTCTCTCTCAGCAAGGGGAGATGGCAACCATTCCCCTATTCTATATGGTTATCTTTGGCTATGGACTGAATGCATTCTCTTTAAACTCATTTTTTGAAGCCTTAATTGAGAATGTAATGGTACATGGAGGAGGGGCCTTGGGGAAGTCATTAGCTTTATATGAAGTCATGAGGGTAGAACCCTTAGGAAGACAGAGGTGCTCTTATAAGAAGAGACACCAGAGCTTGCCAGTCTCTCTCCTCTTGCTACTTATAGAGGAGATGTCACATGAGCACACACCAAGAAGGTGGCCATTAGTAAGTGGGTAAGCGGGCCCTCACCAGAAACCAAATCAGCTAGCACTTTGAGCTTGAACTTCTCAGCCTCCAGAACTGTAACACATTTCTGTCGTGTAGGCCACCCAGTCTATGGTATTTTGTTATGGCAGCCTGAGCAGACTAATACATCTTTCTTACTAGCCAATCCTTCAGTACTCCAATAACCTGTTACACTGAACAAATCTCTACACACAGTCTCTGTGTTCAAATTAGTGTATGATTTTTTTTTCTTTCTGGACACACACTGATAAAGTGAAGAGTAAGTCTTGTATAGCCAAACAAGGCAGAAAGTAATACAACAAAAGTGGGTCATATTTAGTAGTGGATTCACAGCCAGAGACAGAGGCAGACCATTACTTTGCTCTGATTTCTGGGAGCATCAGGCAGAGTAAAGTAAAATCCATGGTGGGACATGGAGCTGATGGCATGGGGACTAGTTGGGTTTTCTGGGTTTCCTGGAAGCACCACCTTTCAAATGATATCTTGGTACCATTTTTATCACTTCTACACCACCATATCCCCACCACAACAATAGGTCACCATAGGACAGGTCCATCACCATTATTATGATCACAGAGAGGCTGTGGATTCCTACCTAGAGAGGGCAGTTGCCCCACATCTAGAAAGATAATCAATTTGCCATAGCTTGCAGTATATAAATGCTGAGTAAATCGGCAAAATCCAAGAAAAGAGGACCCCTAACAGCAAGAGCATTTGAGCACTGCAAGTAGAGTTTAACTCACTTGAGATTAACAAAAGGGCAACCTAAAGGATCTAAGGACAGGAAAAATAATGGAGAATTCAAGAGAGGGAAAATGATCAAAATGAAAAGGAAGATGTATATTAGAGCAAAGGTGACACATTATGGAATTACCCAAATTTCTTCAAGTATTATCTAATATCTGATGAGCACTTAAATATGTGCTGAGCTTACAAATTTTCATTCATCTTTCATAAAAATTTTCATTTTAGGCTTTGAACTCATTGTTCCCTCTGCACTGAACTTTTCACACCAACCAACTTGCATGGATCCTCCTTACCTTCCTCCACATGTCACCTCCTCCAAGACTCCCTAACTGCCCTGCCAGCAAAACCACCTTCCTAGTCATTTGATCCAAATTGTTATTTCATATTTTTTTTCATAGGACTTATTGTTCTCCAATGTCATGTACCCACTTTTTGCTTGCTTTGTCTCCCCAGTAGGATGTAAGCCTCCTGAGGTCAAGGACTTGGTCCCTCTAGTTCACTTCTTTAACCTCAGTGCCTAGAACTGTGCCTGCTAACCAGCTCAACACACACTAACTAAATGAATGAGTGAATGAAAGAGTCAATGAATGAATTCTTGATTAAGTAAACAAAATAATGTCAACATCAACAAACAGACTCAATACCAGCTAACACGTGAAAGTTCTGGTATTCTCATCCAGCTCATCTGACCCTAGAATTCACTCTCTCTACCACCACAGTATTATCTCCTAATAAAGGTAACTTAAATTTCACACCATTCTTTAGTTACTTTAATTACCAAATTTTGGCCTAAGATTCTCAATTAAACACTGTATTAAGGTACTCTCTGGAGTAGATGTGCTGGAAGCTTGGTGGACATCAGCAATGTCCAAATCATTACCATCATTCCTATCAACAACTGTTGCCTAATGGGCTCACCCCACTAAATAGGATGACAGAACTGTACATGGAGATGTCAAGGTTACATAATTACATGCAGTACTCATCAACACAATTTTGTACATTTGTCCCATTGCATGAAATGCATCCTAGGTGGGATCTTTAAACAGTTAATTCTGGCAATAAGCATGAAATTATCTTGTTTTACTATGATATGAATTACAATATAATTCTAGAATTACTTTACTGTAACTGAGGCCATCTGTCACACAGGAGACAGCTGCCAGGGCAAAAGGCTGAAACACCTTTAATGTAGCAGTATGGACAGTGACATGAAATTACTCAGACTCTCCAAAGATTTGTAAGGTAAAGCAGAATGCTTGAAGCTAAAAGCAAACATATTTAGCTTAGAAACTTCTAAAAAGTTAGTAACAAATACAATTGAGAGAACAGAAAAAGAGTTGAGTTGGGAGACAGAGATATTGATATATACTTTCAGAATCTGCTTACTAAGAATAATGTTGAAAGAAAACCATAAATATTACAGAAAATTGAGTTATTTAGTACTTTATCTATTGCAGAAAAAAGTTTCAAACAGTGTTGATTCACACACCAAGGAAAAGGCAGAGGTGAAACGAAGAAATAACAGCCCCTTAGGTATCAGAGACACCTTATGTTCATTTTAATAGGGAAATAGGGTATAGGTTCTATGGCTTAGGAAGTTTTACTACCATTAAACTATAAATATATGATATTAAAAAGTAAACTATAAACTTAGTAACATGTTAGTACATTTGGGGGAAAGATGGCAAATAACATAAATAACAATTCAAGATATCTTCAAATATTTTGATAAACATTTAAATAAATGAACATTTTTTTTTCAAAAATTAAAGCATTTTACTAAATGAAATCAGTGAGGAGTGCTATTTTTTCCTTTGTTAACATGTTAACATTTGCACACATTCTCACTTTGCATGTATCACAATTTTTTTCCTAAATCATTTGAAAATAGAGACATAATGACATTTCACTGCTGAAATACTTCAGTATGCATCTCCTTTGAATAAAGACATTTTTTCTTATATAGCCACAAAGAATTTTTAAAAATCTCATCCTACGGGATGTCTCAAATCCTAAAGGAATATGTGACAACTTAAAACCTAACTCTTGATGACAAGAATTGCTACTGATAGGTTCAGTACTTCCTTATTTCAGTACACAAGCTCTGTTGGCTTGGAAACAGTTATTCTAAGCCAACAATATTTTTATATTTCTAGACATTATTAATTCCATTATGTAAGTTACCAGGTAACCTTTATTATTTTTAAATTATCATTGGGTAATTCTTCAGGAAAATAATATTTAATCAGTTTTTCTGCCTTTCAGAATAAAATACCCTTCTATAAGCCTCTGTCAGAAAGTTAGATATTGGTATTCTCTTTCCCTGGTGGGAGGATTCCATGGAAATACTCTAGCTGAATGTCTTCTATACAGCACATACTCCTTCAGAGTCAATGCAAGCTTCTGAAGCCAAAAAGTTACACTGAGGGAGTGGGAGTAGGAAGCACCATATTCATTTATTTTTGTTACCACCTGTAATGTTGTAGGAGCTTATATGAAGACAGTGATGGAATTAAGATTCAGAACTAATTTCCTTACATGTAGTTCATATTGATGTACTATTTCATAGACAAAGCCTCCATAGATTGGATAAATGTAAATACACTCAAATGATATTCATGAATGCATTTTTAATTGTCACTATTACTACAGATATAAGAGCTCAAAATATATCATGGCAACAGATTTGAAAGTTGCGTTCTTTAAAATAAAAAGTCTAATCATAGACCTTATCTGTAATGTATCCCAATAAGACAAAGACTTTACATATAAAAAGGTAAATCATGTTACTCTTCAAGTGTCTACTTGGAAAGGTACATTGGAATAATGAAACAATAATTAAGGCATCTGTGATAATGTAATAGAGGTTCCCCATCACGTTTATTGGTAAAGAATCCATCTGCAATGCAGGAGACCCCGATTCAATTCCTGGGTTGGGAAGATCCTCTGGAGAAGCGCTAGGCTACCCACTCCAGTATTCTAGGGTGTCCCTTGTGGCTCTGCTGGTAAAGAATCTGCCTGCAATGCAGGAGACCTGAGTTCGATCCCTGGGTTGGGAAGATCCCCTGGAGAAGGGAAAGGCTACCCACTCCAGTGTTCTGCCCTAGAGAATTCCATGGACTGTACAGTCCATGGGGTCACAGAGAGTTGGACACGACTAAGCGACTTTCACTTTCACTATTACCTTTATTAAACTGATCTATCCATCCTCCAGCAACTTTGAGTATTGCCTGCTAACAGTTCACAGTTGCCTCCTTCTCTTAAAAATTACCCTTG